TTGGTTTTGTTTTGGGGAAATCAACTCAATCAAATGTAGAACTATGTATGAATGAGACAACGATGTTCATGTGTGTTGGGGGAGTGGCTTTGGAGGGAGACCTGAAAAGAGAGGGGAGGCATTTGTCCGTCTCTTGCTAGTGTCTCCAATGTAGCTTTAACAGAATCTGGTAGGTATGTTTGAACTGGTTCTTAATTTAGTCTACATAAAATCTCTGTAGAACGACTGGACCTCAAATGCGACTACACAAAATACAATGACTCCTTTTTCACAGCAGATTTGCCACAGCAGATCCTTGAGCCAGAGATTAAAAGACAGACAAAACAAATGAATAAGAACAACCCCCTAACTGCACTGGTTTCTGAAGATGTTATTTTTTGTCGGAAAGCACTCCCATCTCAGGAAATAAACCACTGATAACCCCTTGAACGTTTATCTTATCCACTTTTCCAACTGTGTTTTGGTTTTCATTACCTTCTTCCCTTGACAGAGAGCGTGTCTCAAGTCACTGCGTTATGTAAGCTAGATATGGGACATGTGTGGGGTACATGCTGTACCATGAGGACAAGGGCGTTAGGAGATCTCTTGAACTTAAGCTGACTTTGGAAAATTGTGCATGTCGCAAAGGTAGCCCTGAGAGACTGTGTGCAAAATCTAAATAATGTAAATCAGTCTAGATTCAGTTTATAGCCGTTGCCATGGTAAACACTATGGGAAATAAGCTCTAAATTATCCACAAAAAGGTAGATTTCTATACTAAAACTTTTAAGGAGGGCATCAAAATTGATTCTGCACTTGAATATATATTCACATAAACGCAAGCAAAAATGTAAATCCTCCTCTTGACGTCTTTAACACAACAAGGTTAACAAAATCTGGTGTTTTGTATCTTGCATGAAATCTAATTTAAGGCCATCACTAGGCTAAATGTTGTACATGTAGAACACCAGATTAATATTAAGCCTAAAAACCCTCATCTGTAAGTAGCATAGTATTATTTCAAAGTCTACAATCCTGACCTACGATCACTCAAGAAGCAAGAAGAAGAATTTGTTGAATCACAGTCAGGCTTTCATCCACCATCCATGCATTATCCCCGAGAGGTTCAGCAGTAATCCTTAATTTATGGCACTGCGGCAGGCCGAGACAAATCTCTGTTTAGTTTAGCTCCAACTGTTTGAACAGTTGTCTAATGGTTAAAATATGCCATCCAGAGCACCACTAATAATGATTTAAAATGTACTACAGGACAACATCAGTACAAGTTATCAATGTTAGAAAAACTGCCTTTGAAGAACATGTCTGTGTTTTTGTTTTAATAAATACATTCAATTAACATGGTGTTATATTAAAAAAAGAAGACTAATAATAAGGGACTATGATGTAGCAATGATCACAGTAGCTGTCTGGAGTAATGTTATCCCTTTAAAGGGTTTAAATTTAGTTTCCCTTCAATTCCAAACTTATACTAAAAACATCCCCTATGGCAATTTGACCTAAAAGCACATAGTTCTGTTATTAAATCCAATTATGAGTGAACTCCGCAATAAGGGAGACCTCATAGGAATACGAATGTTGGCAGACAGTTTCACTACAGCAGATTATGTGCCATTTTACGACAAACCTTTTGCCTTTTATGAACAAAGACAATGCAGCCAAGGAGAAGACACTGACTGATGTGTCTGTGAAGACTAATGTGGTTGGTATGTTTTCCCCAATCCAGTCAGATGAAGGAGACTTTAGAAGAAATGATTACAATCAGGGGAAAGGAAGACCTTAGAAATACCGGCCCTTTGACATGCTAAGTGTACTTCTGTTGCTAATGGCATTTATTGCGTAACCTCTGGTGAGTTTACTAATGATCTAGAAACATCACAGGTTTTTAAAATCTTTTATCTAAGAAGGAACACTGTCATACCATATGTTAATTGGCTGTGTAGGAGGACTTCTTGTCTCATTGTGTTCATTGGCTAAAAAAAAATAAAATAAGAAACTGCAGCAATCGTCAACCTGGTTTATTTGCCACTAAATGAGAACCAAAGAGAAGATATTTGTAATATTTGAGCGCAGAGCATTTTAAAGGAACATTTTTATTAGTTTGGTTGACCAAAGTAATATCTGCTTTTAAAACACTTAGTCTGTTAATAGATACCACATCACTGAGGGCGACAGAGAGAAACACTAAATAGGTTCTGTATTTATTGAATTAAATTAATTTATGGACAAACTTAATGATTATCCAAGCAAGACCACACTAGCACCTCAGGCTGCTGGTTCACCATGATGCTCCAAAACAAGGGTGTTGTTTTTTGTTGTCTTTAGAAAAGATTTAGATTTCTAAAAGGTTGCAATCATCCTAAACACCATTTGATTAAAGTGACACAGATTAGAGATCTGAACATTTTTATTTTTGCCTCGGTTATGAAAGCTGTGTGGAAATGTTTGACTGGCAAAGGCTAGACACACTCAATAAGTCAAAGCACGTGTGATGCATTTACTTACTTTCCAATGTTTTCTGGAAGAACTTGCAATGAAATATCATTGATGGAAAGGCATGTTAGATTCCGCAGCTCTGGAAAGCTTTCAGGTAACCTGGAAAAATAAAAGAGCGAGAAGAGGAATGTGAGATGCCAACTGAGGAGTAAACAAAGAATAATTTAATTCAAACACTTTTAAATACTTACAAATATACTTGACATTAACTTGCGGATGAATACTGGACTAGCATTTTACAGCTGGCATGAAACGAGTAATTGGATGCCCGTGTTGCTTTGCTTCCACTGAGACTGTACACTAAGTAATGCTAAGCATGAGTTCACCACACTTCAGCCAACGCTTGATAAGTAGAGGTTTATCTGTCCGTGTTGATATTCATCCCCTGCTCTGCTCTTCTATTCAAAAATGCTTAATGCGGCTTAAAAATCAGACGTTTTAACTTGTTAATGAACATCAAAAGGAATGCAGGGGTCAAAATATTCTGTGTTGAGCTGCAGGATGTGATTACACGGGACAATCTGAAGGCTCCTGGACATTATCAGCGATGGTTTAATCACACCAAATGCACCGGCAACACAAAGTCTACGAAGATAACAATATCTAAAACGAGGAAATAAAAGTCACAGTGCTGAGGTCTCCTGAAAACACGATACCATGTGCCCATATTCTCATTTTCTAAATGGAGACAAACTTTGCTTTAAAAGAAAAAACATTATCCTCTTTAATACTGCAGGCTGACCAGATGGGTCTACTTATATGGTAGCTGTGGTCAAACTTTGATCCACAGCAGCAACAACAAAATAATGCTTCCTGAATCATTTGAGCTCTACTTATTACCATTTTTGGTGGCAGTGTACGTGTAATGGTCTTTGAGCATCCTACATAAATGTGGGCTTGTGAGACTGTTCGACATTTCTCTTCAAAAGCCTTAAAATTACACATATCCGAATGAATTGGAGACTGACAACCAAATGACATCACCCTCCTGCTAACCCCCAGTCGTAACTCAACAGTTTAAAATAGGGCTGATGAAAGAGAGGGGAATTAGGTTACTACTGTGGAAAAAAGAGTGTGTGTGTGTGCACTTTAAAAGTATTGAACGCCAGCGCCTTTGTGATACTATTCATTGTTGCCTCCTAAACTATATATGGCAAAGCAATGTGGTTGTGCCCCTGCTGAGGTGCAAATTGGACCCAGTCTCCCCCAAACAATGAAAAGCACACTAAGCACATTCTGCAGTCTGTCAAAGGGAGACTATAAACGTTTATAATGACAGGTACAACAGTGGATCTTAAAAACACACCATGCAGACAATGGAAATATAAATTTTTAATAAAAGATATATTTCTTTAAATACATTTTCAGGATGCAAACATTTATTAAAAGGGAGCTCAATAAAAAGATCAAGATAAATAAATGTCAAATGGTTTTAGCAATGTTACACACTTAGACAGCTGAATATAAGAAATATAAGAATAAGAAACCAATATTAAAAGAATTAATTATGATTATGATGGATAATCTGTTGGGATACCTTGTTAATGGATTTCCACTGAAATCTGCCACTTGGAGGGCTTTGCAGTATGAAATGCTCTCTGGGATTTCCATAATATCTGAATAAGAGAAAAGAAAAAACACACATTAAAGAAATCTTCTCACTCTACTCAGGTCTTAAAACATGTTCCAACTTACGACACAATCAGCAGTAGATATACATTAAAGTTTCTTTAATATATATATATCCTTTTTGTGTTTGATTATTCAATAGTTCTTAAAATACAACGCGTGACCAAAACAAAAAAGAGGTACAGTTAAACATCTCCACCTCATTATGACTCAAAACAAAAAAGAGGTACAGTTAAACATCTCCACTTCATTATGACTCAAAACAAAACAGCGCTGTGGGTTAAATGTCTGTTTGTACTTTCTTTTAACCGAGTTAACTGAATTTGGTTTTGCTCTACAGCCACAACTGTGAACCGCCTGCTCTGTTTCAGGAGACACCGCACGAGTGCGTCTACAGAAATATGTTGGGGTCTGCTCAGAAACACTCGAGAGCTTCTGGCTAATGCAAACCATCTTTTTTATGCTTATTTGTTGCATCAGCTTGACTAATGAGGAGTAAATCTGTCACTGTGATTCATCGGCTGAACTTGAACGCTGTCTTGCTCAATTGGGCCCAGAAACACAGCGATAAAATGTAATGTGTAACAAATGGGTATGTGTTATATTACAGTTTACTTCTGTGCTGGTATATTGCTGCTTTTTCCTTCTTACCATTTCGAGAGACATCGAGTTCTACCAGCTGCATGAAGTTGGCTATTTCTGGTGGGAGTCTCTGGATCTCATTGTCACTCAGGCCGAGTTTTCTTAGTTTCACCAGCTGGAAAAATGGCTGGAAGATGAAAAAGAAACACATAATAAATAAACCATTTAAACTGTTTCACATTTTAGCAACGCTCTTTATTTCTCAACCCTGCTGCATTTTGAACTGATTACAGAGTTAGAATTCGGTTACGCCACCCAGAAAATGAAACCTGAACCTGAAACCTCCATTAAATGCTGCTGGTTCATAAAAAAAATAATAAAACGCAACAGAAACACAATCTCAGATCATTTCTGTTGGCTGCAGCGCTGACTAGACCATGACAAACGGACTGCAGACGACTAGAGGATTTGACAGGAAACAAAAGTGAGAAAAAGACTGAGGTTCAAGTCTCAACGAACATCCCGTCTTTTTATTTCTGTTATTTCCTTTTCAACCCAGACAACATGACAGCTTTGGACATGGCTCTTTAACTGCTGGGGAGTCTTAATTAAACATTATTAGTTTCTACGTACAGCTTTAAATGAAAGCAAACACGTCCATTAGCCCTATTGATAAAAACCTGTTTCCTGTTTCAGTAATAAGTCGTTTGTGAAGAATTTCAATTAACGGGACCTAATAGATACATAGATATAGAGATATTTTGACTTTATTCAACAGGCTTTACCGCAGATGTCCGTCAGCGGGTTTTACTTTCTGTCTCGCAGTTAAAAGTCTGTATCTCCTCTCTACAATATCAGATCAGCAGGCCTCAGAGTTTAAGGTCACAAGTCCCTACTTAGAAGTACAGAGATCTGTCTTTGTGGGCAATTTCAGATTCAGTAGACACGCTTATTTAAAAAGGCACAAGCAATTATCACGAGCACATACTTGACGCCCATAACAAGAGCAGGCAGAACCTTTCCCTGTGTGGTGGTGAACAGGTAGCCGACAATGCTGCTTCAGGTTCCCTTAATGTTTTGGCATGAACAGAAAAGAAAAACGCCTCCTGAACTTCCCCTCTGGCCTGGTATTCTCCCTGCTATTGGTAACTACAAAGCAGCAGGCAATGAGGGCTCGTCCATGTGCGGTGTGAGTGCAGTTATCGTTCAATAACTCACTTAAGTTAGCTGTTAAATATGCTCGGTGCTCTTTTTTTCACCTAAACACGGCGAAATAAACAACTTTGTTCTCTGCTCTCGTGCACGAGGAACGCAAACAGTGCAACACAAAGGCTGTGTAAAAGCAGACGAGGGGATCATGCTTCTGTTTTTCTAAATGCTATATACACTTTGCAAAACATTTTTATGCTGTAAAAAAAACAATTGGATTTATGGTAACCCGTTTAATCCTCAAAATGCCTTTGGCTTTGAAAATAGTAGAGGAACACTTCACTCATTGAGAAGGTAAAACANGAAACTCGACTGCTGTCCCATCTGGCTCCCCTTTATATGAGCTCACGGTCTCGGAGCAGCGTGCTCAGGTAAATGTCGTATGGTTTGTCTCAACAGGCTTTACTGATATAAAATATGTTACAGTAAGCTGCTATAGAGGTTCACCGGTGCAGTCAACCCCCCTGCAGCTCGTGATTGTAAAATTAGCCTCACTTTGTCAGTACATTCCCAGCCTTAATGATCTCCGATTAATTCTTAATGATTGCACCATTTCCTATAATATATTAAACTACCGAACCTGGAATATAACTGTACTGTTCCTGGATGTTTACTGTGTGTGAGGAAGGAGGGCAGGATCAATCACACTCTTATTGGACTGATCATAATCTGTACAGTGTGCATTTTGTAAATAAAGAACTCTACTAATGAACTGGCTGCTCATTGTCCGTAGACCAGATTACATTTTAATAATGTGTGCAGAACAAATAAGGCCTCAGAGTCCAAAAGTCAAACTCCACCTCATTACAAACCTCATTACAAGGTCTTAAGACAGTTCAAACTGTCTTTAATCCATCATTTCATCAAGCAAACAAACCCTTACAAGTCATAACAACCGACTGAGCTTTTGCATCCGAACCACCTCAATTTCACTTTCACGTTTCACTAACTTGCAGAGGAGCAGATATGTTGTGTGCAGCCTCCGTCTGCTGCGTCCGCTCAGAGACTTGTGATGATATCATCGAGGGAGCCTCGGCTAGTACGGACTCGTTCACTTCCAGAAAACTAACCTGAACTGAGACGGATGAGGGAAATAATGTAAATTCAGTTTTGAGGTGGATTTTTACCGACATGTTTATCACTTTCAGACTTCCTTCTTTGAACTGCGCCACTCCTTCGTGACGCAGCGATCGCAGTCAGGAGCAAACACGGGTCAGTTTCCTTCAAACGCTTTTGTCCCAAAACAATAAAGACAAACAGGGGAGTAACTAACAGAAACACATAATTGATTCTTCTGTATGATCAGTCCAGTCGCAAATGTGCAACGAGTTTTGTGAGTCTTTCATTAGCATACTGACAGCAAACCTGTTCTTCTTGTGTCACGCAGCACAACGCCCCAAACAGTCGCCCATGTGTGACATTCAAGAAAAACAAACAACAAAACAGGTTGAGTCAAGAATACATTAACCATCCCCTCAGCTCCCGAGTCAATGTTTGAATCTTCAGTTTCTCCTTCAGCACTGTTTGTCAGGCCTCAACGCAGCGTGTGGGAAGTGAAAAACTAAGCTTTTAATGTTTTCACACAAGAGAGACGTCACTTTTTACTTTTATTGTTCCAACAAACAGGTTTTAGACGGTTCATGTAGAGCTTGTTGTTAATCTGGAAAGGGCTCCTGTGCTTTTTTTATACCACGATTTCCAATATGTTTAACAATTAGTTAATTCTTCACTGGAAAAAAAAAAGCTATTAAAATTGTGATGATGTGACATTTGTTGGGGTCTGTTGCCATGGAGAATAACATTTGTAGGCCGGGGCAGTACTTCATCATAACCCTTTTCTGACACACTTTTTACATTTATCACAAAAATTGCAGCTTCTTGCGATTTGGATATCGCACTTTCGGTAATATTGTGATTAATTTTGCAGCCCTGTACGTAAAAACTACTTAAAACTGCACAAATAAAAAACAAAACGTCACCCCTACATCCACAAACACAAGCAGAAGACACTCAACGACTGCACGACCTTTACGACAGCTCTCCCTCTGCAAGAACACCTTCTTGCAGATCACATGACAGTCAGTTTCAAGTCAGTTTCACCACCAGCTTCCTGCTCCGGTATCCGTAGCACCACAGTCCTCACCACTTCACACACACGGCGTAAACCCTGCAGCTTCTTCTCTCCATCAGTGTGTGTGTAATGTGTCACAGACTTCTACACGGTGGTAACGACAGCAGATTCCCCGAGAAGATACCTCAACCACGGCTGCAAATGGCAATTATTTTCATTATAAATTGGTTGTTAGGTCTATAAAATGTCCCCAAGTTGATGTTTTTAAATAGTTTGTTTTGTCCAAAGCCCACAGATATTAGTATGACATCACAGTAGATACGATATCTTCACAACTGTGTAGCTGGAAACGATTATTTTTTGGTATTCTGGTTTCAAAAGAGACAAACAATTAACTATCAGAATTGTTGCCAAGTAATTAATTGAACAACTGTTTCAACTCAAGCCTGAATGCCATTTTTGTGTGACTGATGTATTTGCATGTCGAACAAAGAGAGCTATATCTGCTGATTTCATCACTTGGCAGGTTGTAAACACTGCAGCTAGATCTTTTTATTATTATTACTGATTACTCTGCTTAGTTAATCGGTTAGTCATTACATCCACACAGTGAAGAAGCTAAAGAAACGACTAGTTTCCTCCTAAGGCTGCTCAATTAATCGAAATTTGATCATGATTACCGATTTTGGGGCCAACGATGTTTTTAAAAAACTAAAAATCGGGGGAAAACGATATTTTTCATTTTTCTTGTGTTGCAACGTTGTGTTCAACAGTCTGCGTAAATTTTCCGTCCCTCCCCCACAGCGTGCAACTGCACACGAGGTCACGCCTCAGGTATAACTCCGTTCACGACTGTTCGCGCGGCGACAACGTGACAACCTGTTCCAAAACAGGTCCTCGTTTTGAACAGTAACGGGGAACTTTACAAATGTTTTTACGGGGAAAAAGGAAGTGTAACTGGAGATTCCTTGCATAGTGTTTTTTTGACAAAATGGGGGTCCATAAATTGCAGCACGTTTCTGAGTTTAAAAAATAATCGTTTGAAATTTCGTGATTTTCAAATTTTTGACCCCAAATGTTGTTGGATTTTTTTCCACAAATCGAGCAGCCCTACTTCCTCCCAAACGATGAATCAACTAATTTTTTTGTTATTAAAGAATAGTTCATTATGAAAATAAGTATTAGCACGCAAGAGGTTAAGAGTTGTTGCCGTATTGAAAGCTCTTTTAAAGGACCAGTTGTGTAGGATTTGTTGGCATTTTAACAGTTGACGCTTGCAGGATTTCACTTAACACCGCTCGGTGTTCTGTTAACTGTTTTTTCTCCTGTACAGTGTTCTATATTATGTTATATTATTTTCATACTGTGTTTCTCTTATCCACTTTGCTTGCTGTTAAGATTGGAATTTTCCCCATTGTGGACTATAATTAGGAATATTTATCTAATACTATTTGACGACCTGGGGAAGAGAATGTGGTTGTTGAAGCGCTTGTTTAGAGAAACTACAACAACTCCTTGTGATTCAGGTAAAACTGTTACAGTTAAAGGAACATACTTTGTGATAATACTTCATTTCTTCCAATAGATGGGATTTAATTTGTTCAACAGGCGGCCTTAAAGCTTCTCTGTCTTGAGTTTCTTTCCAGCTGGGAAATGGACAGTGAACGCATTCATCTTTAAAAACCCGGACCAACAGGCCAGAAGTATTTCAACCACCCGGCGAAGGTCTTGCATTCCTATTCTTTCTTCATCCCGTTTTCTCGTGTCGACTCCTGTTTTGGTAGATAATGGACTGCCTAATTCAAAACCCAGTCTGGGACTGTACGTATTCTTGGGGCCTGGATAAAACAAAGAGAGAGTTTACTGGTTTTGTTAACAACCGGGTGCACTGCCTACAACAACAAAACCACATAAAAACAATCAAAAGACAAACGATGAAGAGAAGG